AACTGTAATTATGAGGTCATGTCTAGAATTAGCATCAGTTCTCCATAAAAAGTTTTGTTACATTCAGTATGGTATTGCCATGCCATTATCTCCTGATCTGTAGTGCTTTAGTGATAAAGATATCACATCAGCCCTGGAGTTTTTGCTGAAGTTATTGTAATAATTCAAAATATTGTTTCTGACAGTTCTTCTTTTGCTAGACTTTCTTTCTTCTAAGAGATACTGGAGAGGACTTGTACTTAACCTTTGTTAGATTTTGCTTTTGTGGGAGTGTTATTTCCTTTTTGGTGTGAGAACTCCTGAGAGACATTGCTCCTCCCTAACTACTTCAGAAAAGTCTAAATTGGAAGGAATTCAAAAAGATAGTTTCCTTTTCAGAGAATGTTTGTCTCTGGATATCACTGTTAGGAAACCTTTTCTCTGGTCATGATGACTGTTTAGAAATTGTATATTTTTAGTTTAGATTTGCTAGCTATAATATTGATTTAATCAGGCTTTTGATAATATTTTTATTATGACTACTTCCTTTCTCTCTTCCTCCCTGCCCAGACACACACAGAGCATTTTCTTCCTTTGAGTTTCTGATGAGGAACTGCTGCCCACGTTTCCTGTGTGGTCTGCAATCATAAGCTGTATTTCTTGCATGCTTATTTTTCTTTATGGTTTTATGAAAATTTTGTATCTATGAGATAAAAGTATTCATTACATGTTGATAAAATTATAGCACCTTGAGAGGTCACAAGGAAGCTGCATAGGCAACTTGAGTGTGGATGCCATACTACAGAAGACATACATCCAGCAGGTAGGGCAAGACACTAGGACTGTATTATAACCCCAATTTTGAGCACTCCTAATTTTAAAAAAAAGGGAAAGAAAAAATGTATTCTTCCTGCAATTTTTCTTGACATTGAAAGACAATTCTTTTTTTCTTACAAGCAGGAGGTTAATCAAGTATTTAAGATCTAAAGTTTAAGTCTGTAATAGGATGCAAGAATGCAAGTGCTGCAAGCCCTTTCAGAGAAATGGCATCTCTATGCTACAGACATTCTCCTCAGCTAAGAAGAGACCATTTTTTTTTTTCTTCCTCCAAATTTCACAGATCTGCTCAATGAGCAGGAGCGTAACAGACCATTTTTATAAATATGCAAACCTCTCTACACTTGACTGACCCCTCCAGAAGATTTTGCCTTCTGGGCTGAGCTGGATGTCTTCACGCTAGCCAGTTCTACTTTTAACAGTCATCTTTTAGTTTTTAAAATAAATACAAGGGATGTTTTCTCTTTTGATGATGCTGCCTTTTTGGACTCCTTAATCATCTCAATCAGATGACGCCCCTATCCTGAGGGAATTCTCAACTGGGGTAAAATTTGGCAGAACAAGTTTTTACAAAAGCATTTCCTGGACTAAGGTGGAGCAGAACGGCATTCTGTCAGTTCTGAACTGCTGTAGTGTCTCCTGGGGAGGATAGCCTGCTCATGTAAATCAGAGTTGCTTATGATAGGGAAAGCACAGCTTTTATTTACCCTGGGACTGAGTCAGAGCAGTTTCCATTTGTGAACTGGAGACCAGTAACTCAATTCCTCCCACATGCACATATTCCCCAGAGAAAGTAGGTCTTGCTAGAGGACAGGGTTTGGGTCAAAGGTTATTGGCATTGCACACAAAAATAGAGAGAAAACAATGAAAAACAAGCATTTAATTGGATTTTATCAGAACAACTGCCAAATGAATACCGTGCCAGGAAACTACCTGCAGCTTTTCATTACAGTTCCTCTGTCAGAAAAAGCTATGCCTTCTTATCTGTGCTGTTACTTGAGTAACGTCTCACAGCATCTGAGGTTGGGGGCACACATCCAGGATATTGTAAGCGTGTCATTGCCAAGTCTGTAAATACAGTTCATGTTTGTTGGCAGTTTCTCTGTCCATTAACATTACATCATCCCAAACCCATGATAATGAAAACAGTTTCAGTCCAAGTAATTCAGCTTCTGACTTAAAAGTCCCCAGTATAAAAGGTGACATCAGTCCACAGATGCCATATATGCTAAACAGCTTGCTTCCTTTTCCAGTACCTATCTTGTTTGCAAGTTCTGAAAAACATGCTAAATCCAAGTTTGTTTTAAGCCAAACAAGATCGCTAGGAGCTCAGATCCTTTTGAATCAGCACAGCTATCAAGTATCTTCTGTGATTTTGTGATTTTTTTTTTTTTAATGTTCTGTGTCACCAGAACAGTAATGCAACTCTTTGATCGCTGTAGATAAGAAAAGAATGAAGGAGTTAGGTATTGTATTTCCATCAGCCCCTTTCAGTTTCTTCCTGTTTTATATTAAATCCATGACCTTTTAACTCAGATTGGTTGTGTTGCTCAATAATGAGAAGGTTCCACAACTTCTCTGAGGTTTTTTTTTTTTTTTTTTGGCTTCATCTTTGTGTAATTTTTACACTTTGTTTTCAGCTAGACAAAGGTCCTGAGATTGCAGGAGCAGTCACTGCTCTGTCATTGACAAAGTTTTCCAAACCCTCTTTCCACTTTTCTAAGTCTTCAGCTTCCCTGTAGAGTTCCTTGTTGCCTAAATTACATGTGATACTTTGATTCAAGTCCTCTTCATGCTCAACATAAATTTCAACATATTCTTGATAGTTAATTTTAAATATACCAGCTGATCATTTTCTTCAGAATTCTGCTGCTTGCCATTAGCCAACTGTACCATCAGTCCTTCTTCCTCCTTGTGATTCCTCAAGAGGATGTCGACACAGATGTTTTTGTTAGGAGTATGGTGGGTGGCAGCTTCTTTCGCAATAACAATTCAGTGTCAAGTTAAACTTCCAAGCCAAGCAGACACCTGAATATGGAAAAGGTATGATTACTGTGCTTGAGGAGGATCTCACCCTTTTTATTAGTTGAAAAGATTACTTTTTCTAGATGCTGTTTTTAACAACTTTGAATGTTCTCATTGGTCATTTTCCTTTGAGACATGATGCAGGAAATACATTTCACCATACAGAAATATTATTGGTGTTACAGTTACTGTTTTTGACTTCTCACATTTAGCCACCCACAACTTTTATTTTTGTTAGCATTCTCTTTCATTCTTCCTTTATAGTTTCACTTGCAAAATCAAGCAGTAGACTGAGAGCTTGAAACTATCTGAAGCTACTCGTTCCTTCTTGTAGAGAGGGAACATAAGTAGAAGTTAGGAGAAGTGGTCTCAGAAGTGAGGTGTGTCTGGATCCAGGAAAGATCGTAATATTGAGATCAACAGGGGAAAGTATTTTAGCACCCTTTGAATGTTCGTGATTGAGGAGATCAAGCTATCCAGAACTGTAGCAAGATAAGGGTTGAATATCAGGGCACTCAGCCCAAGAAAGAGCATAGGAGACAGAAAATGTTCCAATTACTTATGTTACAAATGATATACAGTTAGCAATTTTCGTAATGTAACAGCACATCAGAGCTTGACATTCTAGGTGTTTTTCTAACCATTTCCATTTGACCTTTGTCATTTTGCCAGGGTCAGGTACAGTAGCTGCTCTCGAACACAGCTGATCATCAGGGCTCTGGAAGGCCTGGAGCAGAAAGTAGATTAATCTCAATGTCTACAGCATAATAAATCAGAATAAAAAATGGTCACATAGTGAGTTCAGTACTGTGAAGACTCACTGAAAAACAAAGTCAGATCGACAGGGATGCTGCCCAGCTTAAGTTATTAATGAATCAGTATATCTTCCACAGACATACTGAGTGTACACACAGATCACTGCATTTCTCCTCGTCTAGTTAAAGCTGCAGAAAAGTCAGTAAAGCCTAGCCTACTGAGTTTGGGTCTGGACCTCAGCCAATTTGCCACTAAGGCTATCCATAATTCATAAAATCTCATAGAAGGCTCCTAAGCGCCAGATTCTTAAACACCCAGATGAGAAATACAAAGTTTGTAAAATCTACTCATTCTAGTAAGGAGTTTTCAAATGCTGTTGAAGCCTTTTTACGGTCTCAAAGGCTCAAATATCCAGAAATCAAACCTCAGGATTGATTTATTGTCTCACTGAATGTGATCAAATGTAGTAGAAAGTCCTTCACAGGGCAAGTGCACAAAATAAAAACCTGTAAGAGAAGACTGATCCTGATCCTATCATTTAAGTTTGCTTTGGCAAGTATGGGCTTCTAGGTTTCATGTCTGTGTCAGAAGTTTCCAGATAATTTCACTTACCACTTATGCTTTCATTAAAAAAAAAAAAAAAAAAAACAAACATATTTTCCTAATATTAATTTAATAGGGTAAGTAAATAAATCATCTCTGCTGAAAGGAAGTCACAACATATATTTTACATGGAAATGAGTGTTCTTTGAGGACTGTGAAAAACCTGCCAACGCAGATTTTAAAGGAAATTAATAACCTCCTTAAAAATAGAATCAGAGCTACAGATACTTAATAAATAAATTTAAGTACATTTGGACAATTTTCATGCATTATTCATTGAAACTTAAACCAAGTCTGGGAAATTCACAAACAAAAGGCAAACAAACAGTACTTTGTTAAATTTTAAAAACTACATTTGTGAAATGAAGATAGAACTGGGTGGTGATTGTGCTGACAGGGACTTAACCTACTTACAGCCATACCCTGTAGCCTGCCATTTTCCCAGAAAAAACTTCATGTTCTAATTATCTATTGTGATTTTTGCTTGCTCCTACTAAAGGCATAAATCTTTCAGACATGAGCCAGTCCCTGTGAAGTCTGATTTACATCTTGCTAATGCATTACAGCTACATATGCTGTTACCATACATGTTGGATTGCTTTTGTCATAACAACAACAACAACAAATCCTTTGATGTGTTCTGTAAATAGTTAGAATCTATTAGCATACTTCTGGTCACTTTAAGATACTGTAGATATGCTATTAAAGGAAACATAACTCTAAAAGTCCCAAACTTCTGAGTGAACTGAGAATATATCGATTTTAAAACTAATCAACTTTTTATACTGTCTTTTAAACAGAGGGAATGGACGTGAGGAGCAGTGATAATGAAGAAGCCTTCGCGAAGGTCATGTAATGCAAAACTTGGCTAGTGGGGAATCTCCTTCCAGAACAGATTGCAACCACTACCTTCCGCTGAAATAGTTGCACAAGGTGAATAAATTACGATAGTACTCCCAACTGTCTGCCTTTAACGGACGTTTTTCCTCCTTGCCCGGCCCTGCGAAGGGACCAGTTGTCACGAGAAGGACGCAGTGCGTGAGAACCGCTTAATTTTTTTGCATAGCCCCAGGAAAAGCTGAATCGCTTTTCACGCTGTTGAGGTGTGCGTGGGGGCGAATCCCCCCCCCCCGCCCCCCGCCTCTCCCCCCAGAAAGCGGTCAGGTTTTCGGGGGGTAAGCTAGTGCAGTTACCCCCGGGTAGCGGGAGGGATGCGCCAGGGGAAGGAGAAGCGCGGGTTCAGCCCCGCCTGGGCGAGCGGCGGCTCGGGGGGGGTCGGGGGTGGGGGGGGGCTAGGTGTGGGAGCGGGGCCCGGGCCGCGGGAAGCTGAGCGCTCTCCCGTCTCCCCCCGCAGGTGATGGCCGCGCCGCTGCGACCGGGAGCCCTCCGCGGGGGCGCAGCGCGGCGCCGGCGCAGCTAGCGCGGCTCCATGGAGGGCAGCGGCGCGGCGGCGGGGGAGGAGAGCGGGGCCGGGCGGGCCGGGCAGGCCGACCTCCCCCCCCCGCCGCCGCCGCCGCCGCCGCCGCCGCCGCCCACCCCGGCCGCCCCCTGCGGCTTCAGCTCCTCCCTCTGCTTCAGCGCCGCCGCCGCCGAGCCGCAGCCGCCCGCTGCCGGCGGCCGGGTGGTGGAGAGCCAGTGGGAGATCAACAACGCCGCCTGCCAGCCGGAGGACGAGGAGGAAGGGGAGACGGTGGGGCCGCGGGGGCGGCCGGCGGAGGAGCCCGACTTGGTGATCGAGGTGTCGGGGCGTCGCATCCGGGCGCACAAGTCGGTGCTGGCGGCCAAGAGCGACTACTTTCGCGCCCGCGCCTCGCGGGACGTCCTGCGGGTGAAAGGGGTGAGCTACGGGGCGCTGCGGCTGCTCATCGACTACGTGTACACGGCCCGCATGGGCGAGGTGCGGCACGACAACCTGGCCGAGGTGGTGAGCGGCGCCCGCGTCCTCCAGATGCCTTGCGCCCTGCACTGCGCCGCCGAGGCCATGCGCGCCCAGCTCCGCCTCGACAACTGCTACCAGCTCCTCTGCCTGGCCAAGAAGCAGCGGCTGGCGGAGCTGCGCGAGGCTGCCTACCGCTTCATGAGCGACCACTACCTGGAGGTGCTGCGGGAGCCCGGCGTCTACGGCCGCCTCAGCGGCACCGAGCGGGACCTCATCCTGCAGCGGCGCATGGAGGCCGGCCGGCCCTGCTTGCTGGTGGCCGAGGTCAGCGATGCCTTCGAGCGGCCCGGTGGCGGCAGCCGGCCCCAGAGCCGCGAGAGCAGCCGGCCGCAGAGCCCTTCCTCTGTGGTGTCACTGGAGGAGAGCGGCTCCCTCGTCCACTGCTACCAGGAGGCCAGCGGCGAGTGGAGGGTGCTGACGCGCCTGCCCGAGGAGGCCAATGCCAAGGGCTGCGCCATGTGCGTCCTCCACAACTACCTCTTCCTAGCCGGGGGCATCGCAGCGGGGCCAGTGGGCGGGGAGCCCCGGGCCCGCCTTTCCGACAAGGTCTTCTGCTACAACCCCCTCACCGACACCTGGAGCCAGGTGAGGCCGCTGGCTCAGCCCCGCTCGCAGCTCAAGCTGCTGGCCCTGGATGGTTACCTCTACGCCGTTGGGGGCGAGTGCCTCTTCACCGTGGAGAGGTACGACCCACGGGCTGACCGCTGGAGCCCTGTGGCACCCCTGCCCAAGGGTGCCTTCGCAGTGGCTCATGAGGCCACCACCTGCAACGGGGAGATCTATGTGTCGGGAGGCTCCCTCTTCTACCGCCTGCTCAAGTATGACCCCAAGCGCGACGAGTGGCAGGAGTGCCCTTACAACAGCAGCCGCCGGCGCTCTGCTGACATGGTGGCCTTCAAGAGCTTCATCTACCGCTTCGACGTGAGCAGCGGCCGCGGTGGGGAGCAGGGCCCGGGCGGTGGGACTGCCGGCGGTGGTGGTGTGGAAGTGTTCCGGTACAACACGGTGGCCAAGCGCTGGAGCCAGTGTGCCAGCCTGCGGCCCGGCGGTGGCCCCGTCCAGCCCTTCCGCTGCGCTCCCTTGGGCAACACCATCTACTGCGTCAACCGGACCGGCACCCTCCGCTTCAGCCTAGCCCAGGACGGCGAGGTGGAAGCAGATGGCGGGCTCAAGGGCACCTTCGATGGAGAGCTTCTTAAAGCTCCCTTGGATGCCAAGGGTGTCCTCCTGCCCTTCGTGCTCACTCTGCCTGAGAGGCTGGACAAAGCCGGGGACCAGGAGGGCTCCCTCCCGCTGTGAGGTGGCCAGCCTGGCTCTGGGTTCCCGAGTGGGGAGCCGCGTTGCAGATGTGGGGGACCCACAAACTGCCCCCTACAGAGGGGACCCTCTCTGGCGTGCCTGCAGAGAGGAGGGGCTCCCCCTTCCCTCCTCTCTGCTCCCCAGATGTTGAGCTGGAGTGACTTGGTTGTAACTCGGTTGTAACTCTAATCATGTTTGCTGTGCTTTGCGTGAAAAGCCAAGCACATGAAAGGAAAAGCTGCTATAAAGGATAATCTCTGGATTATGTTTGTGCCAATTCCCAATCTGAGAAAAACTTTTTTACACCTCGATTTCTAAAAAAGTCCTGACAACAGTGTCATAATGGGACGTTACTGTTAGTGTTGGTTGAGTGTTTACACATAGTTGCAACCCGGGCTGGAGCCTTTTCTGCCATTTGTTTCCTCTCTCTCTGGGATGATACTGAGGGATAAACACTGCTGGCAACATAGTTTAGCTGCATTTGTTTTTATGTTAAACCAGCTATTTCCTGTGTTAGAAAACTATAGGAAGAACATCGCCATCACAGCCTTTCATTTCTGGTGCAAAAGATGGCTTAAGGAAGACGTGGCACTGTGTGGTCCCAGGAATTTCAACCACAAATGATTTAACAGACACCAGACTTAAAGTAACAAATGTGTGCCACATGTTTGTATTTGGAATACATAAAAAAAAAAAAAAAAGCAAGTTACCTTTTTAAACTGTGGCATACTATAGCAGATATGAAATGTTGATATGTTCTTTAGTTGAAAAAGGCAATGGTTTCTGTCTAAAAAAGACATAATTTTATTACCTTTTTTTATCAGAGATTTTAAATTATAACAAAAATGAACTGAAGCTGTTCAGACTGCAACCGATTGACATGACCACGTATGCCACTAGAGTTGGGGGAAATATTTTGTCCTTCAGCTGCTCTTTAATTAACTGCATGTCGAGGAAGATTAACCTAAACCAAATGTAAATTCCTTGAAACTTGTCTGCAGACAGCTTAAGTGTTTCACTGTATGTTCAGTATCCTGTGGCAAGAAGCTTTTCCAACTTAGTGTAAGACCATCAAAGGAGGACATGGAAAATAGGAATGCACTACACATGTTGATTATATTGTACACTAGCATGATGTTATTTCCCTATCTTTTGACTGAGAGACTCCTTTATTTATTTTGATCTAATGATTGCTGTAATCAGTAAGTCCTTGTTAATTGCAGTACATGCTGACGGCGTACGCTGTCACTGGGATTCTGAACCACCTGAGAGCACTGTTTGTGGAGCAGCATCCCAACGAGGCAAAACCACACAAAGCTTCCTCCTGCCTTTGGAAAGTTGGAGCACACTTTTTGTCATGTTACTCAGAACTGGAAAAGTGTAAACCGTCTACGCAGACAGACTATGTTGAAAACGGCACATGCATTTATTTTATACATTTTATCATTTTATATATATAAAAAACTCCCAAACAATAGGCAAGGCAAATGTTTTAGCTTTATGGTAAGTCACTGAGGAACCTTTTCTGAAAAAAAAAAAAAAAAAAAAGAAAAAAGAAGAACCAGTGTTTTTGCTATTGGTAATGCAGCCTGGAACTGTCATGGACTGTGGAAGGGACTTGTTTATACTCAAAGCTCTAGTATAGATTCATATTTTAGAAAGATATAGGGACCTTACATCAAAGAAAGCAGATCTTTTTATGTTTTATTAAGATGTTTTTGTTAAACAGGACATTAGCTTTCTTATACATTATTGCTAGTTCCAAAGGAAGGCAGCAGGCTCTGTCCTAAGAGACACCGTCTTCACAAAAGAGAATAGTGAAGTTTATAGATACTTCTTTCCTTTACTTTCACGTTTTGTTGCTTTGTTTTGATTTTTTTTTCTTGTCTCAATCTGTCTTGCACAGGATTTTCATGCAGCTGATCTGTTTAGCCACTGTAGAAAACAGTGGTCCAGTCCTAAAAGTTTTAGCCAAGTGAGCCTATTCCCTAGTGAGCTAATTAAAGCATCAGCCAGGTAGGAGCTGTAGGCCTGCAGAGTGTGATGCTTATCTTAGCCTCAGTACAGGTCAGTGCAGTGGAATTTAATACCACAGATGGCATATTCATTAGCAATTCACAAAGAAATAATTTTTTTTTCACTGAATGATGGACTTAATTCTCAGACTAGAATCCTTGGAAATGTTGACTCTAAATTAAATTACAACACTGTAGCTTGAACAGGAAAGAAAAATTATGTGTTTGCCTTCAACATCATTTTTATGTTAACTGTAGAAAGTATTTCAGGCTGTGTAGTGAAACACTTAGGTGCATACTTAAACTAAAGGCATAAGTGCTAGGCCAGATTTTAAATTAGTAGAGTCACCAGGAACACACAAGGAAATGTCTGTTTTGTCTTACAATATAATACGATTTCATAATTCAGAATATTGTGTAGTATAGTTCTTATACTACAGCATAGTGAGGAATCAAGCCAGCTTTTGCATTCCTATTAATTAAACATTAATTAAGCATTTTCATTCCTGCTAATGCATGAAAATGCTTCTAAATGAATTTTGTGAAGTCTTCATGAGTTAAGCTGTAAAAATATGCCACAGACTTTGCGGAAAGAATGAAAAGTATCCTTTCTTCCAGTATTCGTTGCTGTACACCATGAAGAAATACATTTGGAAATAATCTTTAGAGTAATAAGCATTCTACAAACCTGCAGTGGTTTGTAATTTTGCTGGATCCTATTGTTAAGAAAGATTGAATCAAGTGCTTACCCGCTTTCACTGTTTACACAGTGTAAATGAGGGCAGGGTCTGGTCTTCATTAGTAGCTGCCTGTCAAACCTGCTTCCTTTGTACACTCTCTGCATAATCACAGCCTGATGATTGACAACAGAGGCATGTTTCTAGCCAGATTTCCTACTCTGTGGCCTCCGTTTCCTCCCTGGTAAGCCTGAGGCAAGTTTGCTGAGAGTTGTTTTTTCCCCCAATTGTATCTTCAGCGTATCCCAAAAAAAAAAAAAAAAAACACCAAACTTGGCTACTAAAACTAGAATTCAGGTGGACTTCAGGCATTTGAAGACCAAAATTGTCATCTCAGAACCCTGATTTGCTAAACTGAGCAACCAGCACGCCGAGCAACCTTTTGCCGTGCGGAGGTGCTGAGCAGTTCCCCGCCACCCGTTCAGAACTGCTCGCCTCTGAGCAGCTGCGCACCCACCCAGCTACCGCCTCAGCGCCTTTGCAGCTAGATGATGTGACAACCAGAAGCCAGTGATGTAACATGGTTTTATGGTACAAACTAAAGGGCCGTGCCACTCTCAAATTGTGTTTGCGTTAAGTTTTGCTTTTAAAACAAAGCTCTTTTATCCAATAGCCTGAAGGCTGCTGTATTTGGGAACACGGAGATCTGTGTTTGCTTTCTTAGCCTGCAAGGATTCAACCCACATCTCCCACTGCCTGACTGGCGATGGATTGAAGGACCCTTTGGAGCTAATCCCTGATCTCTAAATATTTGTGCATTTTGTATTATACATTAATTGGCTAAAAATCTCAGAAATTATCTAGGCAGGTGAATTCAAACCTTCGTCCTCAGTGAGTGATCTGAGACTAACTGGAGAGACATAGTCTTCTCTGCTGTCTTTCTTCTCCGTGAACCTCACGGTCCCCTTCTCCCACTTTTAAGAGGACATGCAGGAGATAATTTTTCTGATTCCTCCTCCCTATAGTACTCCTGTTTTCAGTATCATCTGCTAGAGGATGTAGGCTTGAATTCCCTTGAGCTGAGTAAGGACTGAACTCGGGCCTCCCATTTCATGTGTATGTGTTCTCAAATCTAGATGACTAGAAGAGTATTGGGACCACCTCCTGCGGCTCTTTTTGAGGGATGAACCTCATGCAAATCCACCAAAAGCATACGTAGGCTCTTGCACACCGAGTCCTGGGGAGATTCTGGGCTCCAGCTCCTGGATGGGTAATTCAGGACACATTTAGTACATGTTGGTGCAAGTTTTCTTCTGTGGGAAGGTCTCCTGGATAGGCTCTGTATTGTAGGTTGCCAGTCTGAGGTGAGGGACTCCATGCACTATACTGGGAGGCCGAGCAGGTAATTTGAATTCTTCTCAGGGGTGATGCCTTGGTAGAGAGACATTGCAGTGCCTAACGTGGAAATGTCTAAAGCCTTCATTGCATCTGAAACTAAACCCGTGCTTCAATAAAGCAACAAGCCTTCTAAGCAAATGCTGATAACAGATGGGTCTTTATTATTTCCATCTATTAACTGGTTCCGTAAAAAGAAATCTTAATTACGGCAAAGGCATGTGTACAAATACTGTTTACACTTGGAAACTAAGTCAAAGGAATAATTGGCAAAAGAATAACCCTATTTGATCAAAGCAGGCACTGTTAAGCAACACGGGAAGGATGCTAATCATACCCTATTAATGAATAAAATTGTGCAGTAGCTGATGTAAATTCTGTCCACAAAAAAAAATTCCTTTGTAAATAAGTACCTGGTAAAATTTAAAGTGATAAAAGAATAAATTATTCACTTGAAAGCTGCAACTCTCCTGTGCTGTTTGATTGGCTCTCAGAGTGTTGTATCCTGATGATCACTCTTCACGATCATCAGCCTATTGCTTTTCCTGCTTTATGGTATCCATTCCACTGACTGCTCCACAGATGTGTTACCCTTCATTCTCACAAAGCTTAGCAGTGGTACTGGGGTGATTTGCTTTGTGTCTGGACTGACATGTAGTGCTTTCGGCTTGAATGAACCCAGAAGATTTAGACAGAGTTGTATCTTGGTGTTTTTTTCCAGTGGCATTGCTCCTGGGAAACTTAAGAAAGCACAAGAAGGGGAAATGGTGGCACCGTTGAGCAGCTGTAGTAACAAGCATCTTAATGAATTTCTTTTTTTTTTTTGTCTGCCATTATTCTGCACACCAGATTCGCACTGGATTTAACAGAACATCTCTGTGTAGCTATTACCAGTGTGAGCCTGAGTACTATTGTAGCAAAGGATGTTTTTATTTAAGTATATTTACTGCCTCAACTCCTACTTTAAGATAATTTAATGCAAGTTTGTAATAGTTCCACACATTTAGTACATTACTGGAACTATTCTGTCTTTACATTACTGCTCCTAAAAGCAGAGACTGACACACAATATCAGTAAAATAATGCACTCGATATGTATAATCACACACTTTTAATTTGTTTTGGCCTACTGAGTGCTGAGAGCTGCTGGAATGAACCCATCAGTATTAGGAATTAGTAGGCTATTTTGGAGACTCTAACTTTCATAAATTACTCAATGGAATGAAGTGGGAGTGTGGGGCAGAGGGATAGGAGGGAGGAGAATAATTAGGAGTCAAGAATCCCTACTATATATCTAGTTGAAACAAAAGAATGGCAGGGAAAGGAAACCAGAGTTGGTACTTGAGACAGTGATGATCACAGGGCCATTTTTTTTACCAGTATTTCTTAAACAGCCCTAGTTTTTACCAGTTATGTTGTTACTCTTATCATTTTACACCTGCAATGCATTTCAAACAACCAGTGTTTAATAAGCTACTTTTTGCAGGAGTCTCACGCTTTGCTTTTAAGTCTTAGTGGATAAACCTTGGACAAATTTGTGGAATCATGAAATAACAATGTCAATGCTGCCACTTACAAAAGATTAACTAATGCAAATGCTTTAGACACTGTTCACGATTCAGGTGAATTATATGTGTAACTGATGTACTAACAGTTTCATTTTTGAAGTATATATAGGTAAAGCTTTTTATGTACTCCAACTTATGCTGTAATGAAATAAATACATACAAAAAGCTTATGGTCCTCCTTAGGGATTTCTGGGTAACTGGTGTTTTTTTTTTTTGTCATCCATCCAATCAGTAAACAGCATTATATTTCTTCTTATAAAGCAAAGACAAAATTGTATGGATTATCACAAAGGTAGGATGTTTAGGAAGTGTTTCTAAGGGTAAGCAAGAGGGAATATTTTCATTTCACAGTGCCCTGGGAATCGGGAACATGAAATATTCTGCAGTGAAAGCACATTCCTCAGTGCAGATTAGCATAAGGTCCAGTTCAGTTAATTTTTTTTTGTTGTCGTTGTTGTTGATATGTTGAAGTACATTATTTATTTATAAAAGTTACATGTAGATTTTCCCAGAATAGTCTCCTGTCTTATGTCACACACATCAGCATTTTGGCTGGAGTGGATTGACAGCAGTGTAAGTAAAAGCAGAATCAAACACAACTTGAATTTTGTAGTTTGTCTCCTACTTATTTTCTCATCAGGTAGTTTGCTTGAAATGAACCTGTTTGAAAACTCCAGGATCCATAGAGATTGGGTGGGGTTGGACTTGGTGTAATTTCCATTATTTCCTTAGCTGCTCCAACACGCAAGTTCTATTTATTTCAGTTTTCTTACATATTCTTCTGAACAGCAAATTCTGCTGCTGAGTAAATCAAGGTAAGTCTTTAATAACTCAACCAAACCAAATTGCCAGAAAACTTGTTCCATTCAGCCCCAGAGTTTTGAGTCTGTTGTCATTGAAGGGACCTTCACTGGAAAAGAGAAGGAAAAGCTCCCATAGAGCAAGATTCAGGCAACCACTATCTTGAATGTGGGTTTTTTTAACGTCACTAGAACATAAATTCCTTCACTTTGTAATTTTCTTCTGTGCTGCTAGCTAGACATCGGGAAGCTTAGTGCCAATGAAATTTTAGCCTGAGTATATAATCCAGCTTGGTTAATTGAACATTTTGCACCTGCATCTCTCAGGATTCTTAGGCCCTAGGTGCAAGCTTCAGGTGTATCCACAGTCTGGTAAATGAGTTGTCAGGGTCCAATAACTTGTGCCATGTCACAAGAACAGTTTTCCAGTTCTGAAACACTGAGACCACCAGTTGTAGCACAAAGGATTTGGGTTTCAGAGTTCTCTTGATTGGGGTACAGAGGATCCTGTTAACCTGTTTCCAGGTACAATGCATGTTTTTAGCATCATTTGTGTCCATGCATTGGACTTCAGAATTCACAACAGATTTCATATGAAAACATCTGGAAGCAGGTGGTGTTGACTTGTATTCCCCTGCAGGCAGAGAAGACTTGCTGAAAAGACAAATCTGCTTCAGTTCTTAGACTGCGCAAGCAGGGAAATCACAATTACCTGGGGACTCCCATGTCATACCAAGTAATTATTGAGTGTACGAAATAACAGTGTCATCATACATGAGTTTACAGCCTATGGACAGATGTACCTATCGTGGGCGGGGATAAGAACAGCTCGAATTGGTACCTGTTAATACTGGGACCATGCCTGGAAACAAACCCCATTCCTGGTTCAGGACTGGGTTGTCTCTGTAAACAGAAGAGAAAGAATTCATAGTCTAAACAAAACTATGTGGCTGAAAGTAGGCCAGGGGAGCAACAGGCATTTGTTACTCAGATGTGGCAGTACCTGCAGGCTTCTTTTTGGCGTGAGTGTGAAGAGCATCTGAGTGTCACAAGTCCCACGGGGAGCAACCCTTAGCAGGCTCAGCTGCCGAGAGCACGGCCCGACCCAAGGGGGACACCGGCTCAGCCGGTCATGCCGGCCGCCAGCAGTGAGAGAAGGGAACCGAAGGAATATCCTCGGGATGATGGCTGGCCTGACGCGACAGCCGTGGGAAGGAGAGAGGAGGCAATCATTGCTGGTGGCCTGAAGCGGTGCCCTGCACGGCCGCGCTCTCCGGGTGTGCTGGCAGTGCCCGTTCTCAGTGAATTCCCCACTGAGCAGCTTACGCATGGAGAGTATTGAAGGTGACGTCCTTTTCTCCTGCCCCTTTTTATGTTTTTTCCTTTTTATTTCTATTTATTTTAATTTATATTTTTTTTTCCTATTTTTTTCCTTTCTTTTTTTTCCTCATGTCATATCTTTTTCCTCCACTGTTTTTTCTCTTTTTCCTCTATTTTCCTTCTTTCTCTTTCTCTTTTTTTTTTTTTTTTTGTTTTTTTTTATTGATTTTTAATTTTTAATTTTTTTTTTTATTCTTTGCAGGTTGTTTGTATTTCTCTCTCTGCTTGAACGTTCCAATAGGTCATATAGGGAGCCTGTGAATTTGGAAAAGTTACCTACTGGAAGCCAATGAAACTCCTTTTCCTTTCCTTTGGAGGCAGACTTTCCTTCCCTAGCCTGCTATTTTTTTCCATTAATAACACCCCCAAGTTTCTATATGAAGTGGGGAAGACTTAATCCATCTACTTCTTGGCAGAATGGTATAATAATCCATGAGATGGTTGTTTCCTAAGGAATTAAAGTTGTGAGCAATTAAATTAGTCATGATGCAGACTTAAGGCAAGAGTTCTGTACCTTTTGTTAATCTTGTCTGTGCTTCTAGTCACTGCAGGCTGTGGGTACAAGAAAAAGTAATTGCAGGATTGAAGTATTGACCAGGTAGGAGGTCTCTGAGGAATGAAGCAAGAGCACAAACTGCTGCAGAATTAAGTTAATTCCCACACCATTTAGAAATCATTATCTCAGTGGTCAGGGCCTAATGTATTGATAGCTTGCTAGTGCATTACATACGAAATGGGATTTTTTTTTTTTGGTTGGTTGGGTTTTGTTTGTTTGTTTGTTTGTTTGTTTGTTTGTTTGTTTGTTTTGTTTTGTTTTGTTTTGTTTGGTTTGGTTGGGGTTTTTTTTGTTTCCCTCTCCCCCCCTGCTGCTTTGCAATTCTCTGCACATGTGAAAAATCATTACAGGGTTTCTGAGTAGAAAATCCGTAGCAATTTTTAGCCATCCTGCACAAAAAAATAAATCTGTCATGTGCAGTGATGGATTATATGTCTCTCCCATATTTTCCTAATTAAAGAAGATGCTGAATGTTGATTAGAATCAGAGAAATAAAAGCTGAGGCTAACAGTAACTTCAGGGAATGCAAATAAGATAATTTTTGCCATCATTGGCAGGCTCTTTTTAGATCATAATGAAGTTCTAGGCAGGCAGAGAGTCTTCTTAAAAAGATGATTTAAACCATTAGGAATACTCAAAATCACACAGGTCCAGAAGAGATCTCCTGGGCTGGAGCAGTGCTGTGTGGGAACTTTCACAGCATAATTAAGAGGAGCTGAACCTCTTTCCATTCTTACTCTGGTTCTCTGCTCTTGCGTATCTTTGAAATCCAGCTGTGTGATTTGATAGCACGCCTTGGATGTGCAGTACTATATCACCCTATCATAAAACAAACTGAAGTGTCAAAATACTAATGGAAAAAGCATTGAAGAAAACCCTTTAATTCATCAGCAACTTCCTTCATATCTCCTTGTTAAACACTACTTCAATTAATCAAGTGTTACTTAAATGTAGATTCTGGTTATGTCCAACTCGAGTTTGCCTTTGACAGAGTTCGAGTCTAAAGGTGTGATGATAGTGCATATTGAAATATGTAATGTTTGAAAAGCCACGTCCGTACAAGCGTATGTTGCCTTACTCAGCTGACTGATGCGCTAATGGCAAGGAGAACAGGTGCCATTTAAATCACCATACTTGCTGTCATTTCTGCATTA